TTGGTCTGACTTGTGCCAGCTGTTGTGGGACCACTAGGACGATTACTCCCTTATCCGGGATACTCTGTTTTTGCCATTAAACAGAAGATCGCACTAGCTGTCTTCAGCATTGCCATCACAGTGTTCGCTCTGAGCTTCAGAACTCCCAAGTCTTTTTACCACGTCCTACTGTCATGCCGGGTCTATACCATTTGTGTCATGCTCGTATATGCTTTGCCTGCTTCCAAAAAAAAGTATTTAAATGTGTATCCTTTTCATTAACTAATACTTCTAACTTTGTAGCTTCTTCTGATTTAAGCAGCTGGCCATCTTGATCCCAGTACAAGTCCTTGATGAGAAATGTTGAATACAGTAAGGTACAAAGCCCTTGGGTGTATACCACCTTCCACCTAATATTGTTAGTGCTTTTGGTTGTAATCATTTAAACAGCTATAAGTTCATTTCACTATACCCACATTTCTTTATAGTGTTCACAAATATTGTTTTGCTAATGTTCATACAATGTTGTTTCAGAGGGCTCCCAAGTTAGCTAGGGGAATTAAAGACAGTCTTTTAAAATTTTCCCTAACCTTCCCATGTGTTGTGGTGGAACTGAGTGAGTACTCTTAATACTAGGGACTGAAAAGGAGAAGAGAATCTGACTTATTGGCTGTTGTATGCAAAGGAGAAAGTGGCACCAATCTCCTGTTCACTGATCCCTGGTCCCAAAGCAGGCTTTGGTCCTGGCTCAGGTGTTCTTCCCCATGTAGATGTGCGGGGTAGTGGAGGTGGTGAAGATTCCCCCTGTCCTGTACTTAGTCTTCTTAGATGCTCTCATCCTCCACCCGTCTCAGCTTATCTTCCCCAAAGCAGGTGTTTCTCATGGACTTCTTTGCTTCTGAGACTCACTCACAGGACTTGGACTTTTTTTTAAAGTATTATCAAATGCTTTATATTGCTTATTTAGGGAAATATAATTCAGTGATGTTTTTTTTAAAGTTTATGGCCTGGTGTTAAATCACTAATACAAGGTTATCTCTTGATTTTTGTTCTCCACATAGTGCATTCTGAGTTAAAACACATTCTTTATAATGCTTACTTCTTTTTCCTAAGCAAGCTAATTGTAAGCAACATTCTTTAGGAAATTCCTCATATACTAGCTGATACCTTCTCTACTTTCCTCCTATGCTGAGGTTAGGTCATCACAAAATAGGACTTATACACACATGTGCATACACACACACACATACACACACACACAGTCTTCTTAAGCAATTAGCCCATGTCTTCACTGCCCTGATCTGACAGTCTGATTCTCTTATCAAAAAAGAAAATGAGCTAGCCTGGTTTGACTTATTTTAGTGAATATATGTGAATTCAGAGAATTCACTGATCATCTTTCTAGATCACTCACAACGCATCTCTATCTAATACTTAATTCTGTTATCTTCCTGGAGTTAACATCACTTTCATTCACATATAATTTTTGGAATCCATCACTGTCTCTCTCTTGAGCATCACAACTACACTTGCCCATTTCTAGTATAAGTTCCATGCCTCACTGTTCCTTAAAGACTATTGATCTCAGCTGCACCAGGACACTTGACTGCTTTTAGAGATGCTCTACTGCTTCCCTCTGTCCCTTGGGTTGTGCACAGTTCTTTCTTATTTGTGTTTTTTTTTTTTCTTTCAAGCGCGAACCTTGTTATGGCTGGTGCTATGTGAAGATAGAAACAATACTCAAATTAAGTAGCTCTACTTTCTCTGTTATTATTTTCAGCATGGCACTTCCAACACATAGAGCAGCGTCTGACACACAGCATGTGCTTAATAAATGCGAAACAACTGAATGAATTCTCCACAAGCAGCAGACCTATCCTTTTTCTGTTCTTTTCATGCTCTAAAGCCTCACTATTGGAAAAGCAGTTTGAGGATGTGCCCCTTTGGCATCACCCAGCGGCTTGTCATAAATGCAGAATTCCGGGCCTCACCTACTGATTCAGAATCTGCCTTTTAACAAGACCCCCAGGTGATTCTTATGCACACGGAATTTTGAGAAGCACTGCTCTAAAGTACAACTTCAGTCTGAAACAAAACTTTTGGAGCATTTCCTGTAATCATCATACTGACCCCCCAGCCCAGTTCTTTAGGCTCATGTTCCTTTTTTCAGCATCACTGGTTGTGTCTTCTGCTTGCCATCTCTAGGAGAGTGCCCTGTGTTGCCGATTTCATTTGGAAACTCCCCCGTTTCTTCATAATCAGTATTATTCAAGATTTTGATTTCAGCATTTTATTTTTAGAAAGGCTTTCGTTTATATTAAATTTTCTTTTTAGCATTTTTGACAATAGGCTCTTTTTTTTACCATTTAGAAATCCGGGTTTTTAAAAATTCTTGATATACTATTTCACATTATTCCCCTTCCTAGCTCTCACGAACTTTGACATAGCACTTTTCCTCTAAATATCTATTTCATCAGAACTTGATTTAGAATCAAATTCAGTTTTCAGAGAGAAAGCAGGTCAGGATGCTCTCAGATTCTCTGCTTATAGCAGATGAGCCTTCTAACAGAAATCCAGACAGCTGAAATTTCCTGCCCTCACTCTGATTATAATCAAGTAGTGAATATTTACAGTTAAAGATTAATAGAGCCTGTACTATTTTCTAAGGAAACTTGCTGATTAGGACTGTCCAGTTCATTCCTTAATGATTTTGCTTAACTGTTTTAACTATACACACAGATGTGTGTACATATAGCAGAGTAGAAAAAGTAATCTGTCGGATAAGTATGTGCAAGGGAGTCCTGGCTGTAGGATTTGGATCAAGGTCTCGCTGCTCACCTGGAGGCAGAGTAACTGTAGGCACAGTCCTTAGCAGAAGTAAATAGCAGTTCATAGAGTCAGCTTAGTACATACATCTAAGTATTTTTTTAGCTGACAGTAAATAACATCAGAGCATCTTGACTTTCTGGTATATTGTTGGCATTTTTGCAGATCTGTGAGGTAGTGGAAAGAAGAAAGGAGTTGGGAAGAGAATTAACATGTCGAAGACCTACTATGTCAACAGTTTTGCAAACACGTTTTGCAAAACATTTCTTTAAAAAGAAAAAAAATAATTTTGAAGTAGGAGGTGACATCTTAATATAGACCATACAGATCTTTTTACTTGATGAATTGTAGAAAACCGACATTTACATTTGGCTCATTTTATTTATTTTTTTTAATTTTATTTTATTTCAGCATATTATGGGGGTACAGATGTTTAGGTTACGTATGTTGCCCTTGCCCCCCCCTCCCCCACTAAGTCCGAGTTTCAAATATGTCCATCCTTCGGGTGGTGCGCATTGCACTCTTTGTGTATGCAGGATTTTTAGTTTTTAATAAATTATTAATTAATTTTGGAAAGTATTTGTAATTTGAAATTCTGGGCAAAATTATTACTCATGTTGCTAAGAATGTTTGTTCTGGGAGAAGAAAGGAAAGGGCTTTAACTGTCTAAGATTTTAAATCCTGTTAAATCCATTAACAGGATTTTGAAATATAAAGGAAAACTTAGTAAAAAACCAGCATGATTTTTAGCTAGAATGCAGAGGGAATTTATTTAAGAGCAAAAAGGGCGCACCATCTGGGGGATGGACACGCTTGAAGCTCGGACTTGGCGGGGGAGGGGGGGAAGGGCAACATACGTAACCTAAACATCTGTACCCCATAATATGCTGAAATAAAAAAAAACAAAGAGTTAAAAAAAAAAA